CCCCCCATGGACTTCCCGCAATGCAATTAAGGGTCAGAAGGGTCAGGAAAAATGACCGACCCCCCCCTCCTTAGACTTACCACAATGTAATTGAGGGTCAGATGGATCAGGAAAATCCCCCGCTCGCACGCTTCGCCATTCGAATTAGGGTCAGAAGGGTCAAAAAAAATTCCCGCCCCGCCCCCGAGGACTCCCTACAATGCGATTAAGGGTCAGAAGGGTAAAAAAATCTCCCCATCACACCCTCAACAATCCGATTTAGGATCAGAAGGTTCAGGAAAAATTACCCCCCCCCTCCTTGGACTTACCGCAATGTGATTGAGGGTCAGAAGGATCAGGAAAAATCCCCCCCCCCGCCGTCGCACTCTTAGCAATTCGATTTAGGGTCAGAAAGGTAAAAAAAAATTCCGCCCCTCGCACCCTCATCAAAGAACCAAAAATTCGACCCCCCCCCGTGCGTCCTCTGAGAATGACACATCAAAAATCAATTGTTTGATTAATTATTAAAAAATTAATTAAAAAACCGGCCGATATGATGCCACTGTCGACTCATTCGGCAGGCGGCTGGCCTGCGACTGCTGCTGTGAGTACTGCCGGCTTGAGGCCAGATTTCCCGTGTTCCAGCGCGAGGACTGAGCACGCGATTGAAAATGTAGTGTATCAATTAATCTGCACTATTAAAATTGTAATTGATTAAATATTGTAGTCTTAGATTTTTTGTATTGATAAACTATTGATGACTTCTCTTATTCTTTTCGAGAAAAATTTCCAAATGACAACGTCGTAGCAGTAAAATAAGGAGGCGCCCCCATAATCGTTCCTGTATTCGAGTCTCCAAAGAGTCGAAAATTATTTTCACGGAACAGAGAAACTGTTTTATCTGTCTTTTGGTCGGTAAAAAGGAATCATGTGCGTGTTATCGACGCAAAATGTTGATAAAAACGATTCCTAAGGTGGAGTTAAGAGAACCGTAATCGATAAGACAGTTCTCGATAAACAGATCAAACACGTTTTTTTTATTTAAAAAAATATGTTAAATATTACGATGCCATAGAGGATATGGTACTGGCAAGGATTATACATAAATAATCAACAACTAGGATTTATTAAATTGTTCATATTCATTATTTTACTCATTCATGTTGCATTGATTAGTTGATTGTATATTTTGTTATTGAATAAGAATCTACTGGAGTTTTCAATCTATCGGGGTTTTTGACCAATCGAACAAATGAGATACATGTTTGTTCCGTTTATTGAATGAGGGAGAAATAGTACAAGATAAGTGAGAACTGTGGAGTACTTATGATAACTGCATGAATATTCTTGAGACTTTTTCCTGAACATGCCTTCCAGAATTTCCCTTCCCCGAGGAGATGTTCACGTAATCTGAAACATCGATTTTTTTAGTGGACTAATCATTTTCTATTGAAGGAATACAAGAGTGCACTCACATAAACACGTTTGAATGCACGACACTTCTGGAGACACCACCGACACTTCAAAAAGGCATTCGAAGGAAATCCGAGAAGGAAATCACATCGGATTAAAAAAAGAAAGAAGGAAATACGTATCAGTAGACAGATGCCAGAATGAGATGGGTACATCAAGTTTTCTTATGACTTTTCGACAAATATTTTGAGCTGAAGAGAGATGGACGTATATTAAAAAGAACTCTAGGATTTTATTTCAACGATATCCGGATTCTACTGCTTCTTGAATATTCAAAGATGTTTTTCTCCAATTAATTTCATTTATTTACTATAATTAAGAGATCTTGATGTACAATTTTCTATCAACATTCCATATGTGTATTGGTAGGAGTACTAACCGACAATGTGCTCCTGGATTGTAGCAAAGTAGTCGACTTGCTGCGCATTATGGAGCAATGATTTGTTGTTGAAGGCACGGTGGAAATGATTCGAACATCCTAGGAACGCTGCAATGTCTAGGGCTCCTTCTCGGTATAATTGCCAAGCCCTTTGTAATATATTTTCTCGATTGATGTATTTTGTGGCTTGAGGTCGTCTCACTGGTTTTCCACGAGCGAGTGCTGTCTTCTTAGTACAAGTTACGACTTGGAGTTTCCTGAGAGATTTTGAAAATTCATAATTTCAAAAATGTCTTATATTAATAATGAGTAATATTGAGTAAAGATATCAAGAGACTTTTCCGGTAACTAGTTTAATTTCGAATGAGAAACGTAAAAAAACATTCGTGTCTCTGGAATCCCTCATTACATTTATCAAGGTTTATTCCATAATAAAAGCAAATATGCAGGTGTATTCTGTGAATAAAAATTGTAGTAACTAAAGAAATATTTAAGAGAAGTATCTCGTTATTTATTTGAAATGACTCATTCTCGAGACGATTAAAAGATCAATTGATTCCATTGCATCTAAATAATGTAAAGCTCTTGTAAAATACAAAATTCTGTCGACAATGAGTTATTTTAGGTGAATAAAGGTCAGAGAACGTTGTTTGTAAATAACAAACGTGCCTACGAAAAAGATATCTTGATATTCTCTTAGGAAATGACTCACTTTCAATATAACACAAAAATAGAGTACTCGTTTTCATCATAATAAACTAAAGCTTTCAATTCTCTTCATTACTACTCAGGGCGTTTCCTCGAAAATATATATTAAAATATTGCTTAACGGTTGGTATGCCAGTGAAATTCAATAATTCCAACAATTTTTTAAAGTGATGGGAGAATAAACCTGTGAATTGCCAGATCGATGGACGCGTTCCAATCCTTTTGCGAAGAACCCGATGATATGCCTCGATTGAGTTGGAGACTCGATTGCGTAGCATGAAAACATTAAAATTTTCAGGTCTCACTGTTCGTATCCACCAGGTTTCGCAGTAGGAAATGAGATCGGATAAAAAATGCCTAATGTCTGGCGAAGCATTGGCCTTCACCATGGTAAAAGCAAGAATTATATCTTTAGCTGGTAGCAATGGCAAAACCATCAGTTTCCGATAAAATTTTTTCCCTTGTTCCCAACCTTTTAGTTTTGTGATTGCAGCTTTACTCTTTTTTTTGATCAACCTCTTCGTCAGGCTCTAAGATGTAAACAATTGTACTTATTTTTTATTTTTCAGTTTCACATGTATACGTACGCTACCAGCGTGATCACTATAGTCACTTAACAATTGTATTTATTATAGAATATTATTCTATTAATACACGTACTGACTTCATTTGTAATATCATCTGTAGGTAATGGAAATAGCATTCTTCTACGAAAAACCCATTTTTCCCAGATGAAATCGTAGGAGGTCAGTAAATGCTCATTTTACCCCAATGAAATCGTAAACGTTCACAGAATTCTCATTATGCCCCCATGAAATCGTATGAGGTCAGAAAATATCCATTTAGCCCCTAAGAAACCGTATGAGTTCACGAAAAACCCATTTTGCCCCAATGAAATAGTAAAAGTTCACAGAATACCCATTTAGCCCCTAAGAAATCGTATGAGTTCACGAAAAACCCATTTTGCCCCCATGAAACCGTATGAAATCAGTAAATACGCATTTGACCCCAATGAAATCGTAAATGTTCACAGAATACCCATTTTGCCCCAATGAAATCATATGTGAATCGTATGAAATCTATGTGTCAGTGAATACCCGTTTTACCCCCATGAAATCGTAGGAGTACACGAAAAACCCATTTTGCCCCCATGTAATCGTAGGAGTACAGAAAAGACCCATTTTACCCCTAAGAAATCGAATGAGGTCAGAAAATATCCATTTTGCCCCTATGATATTGTATAATTCAATGTGCTTGAGATATCTCCCTAATTGATTATCGTAAACTAAATATTATTTTGAATTTATCTATATAATTCTAACTTGAAAACTCTTCTTCACCCCAAAAACCGTACTCCGTGGCGTCACTATCGGATGGCGCCCCTCTCGCATTCTCATTTGACAATTTTTCCGTTTGACAATTTTTCCTTACGTCATAATTCGGAGAGTTATTCTACTGACGTGTCGGTAATAAAATGTTTATTTCACAAGAGTTTATAAACTTATTTTCTTCAATATCTCAATATCGAGTTAAGTTAGTGGGATACTTTTCTTTTCGAAATGTTCGTTTTTTTGTCCTCTATCTTAATCAATCAAAATGTACATACCTGTTCATAGAAAGTTTTCAAGATATTTAGATTTTCCTATTTTTGAATAAAAGTCATTGTATGCTTTCTAGCTGACGTAAAAATCAAAATAGCCACTTGTTTTGAGATAAATTCTCAGTTTATGAATAGAATTGTACCTTCAATAATTACCGTGAGGAAATCAAGCAACAATTGGAATGATATTCCTGTAAAAGAATTCTCATAGAAGAAAGAAAGTTGTGAAAATTCAATTTAATAAATTGGCATTGGGCAAGAATGAATACCACTTCCTAAGATTGTGTGTGTCTGTGCGAGTGTCCAGCTGATGTTTAACTTTTAACGAATCAAAGGTTTGAATGCGTAGAAAAATTCAGAAAAGATCTCGAGTTTGTCAGATTATAGGTATTAATCAGGACTAACGCTCAGGTCTAAAGCTTGATTTTAGCACAATCAACTCAGTTGTTTCGATGAAATTGTTGCTCATGAATCTTTTTTTAAAAATATCTCGAAAACTACCCAAACGATTTCAATTTAAAAAAATGTAGCGAAGCTACTTATTTATCGTTCGAATTATTTCACTATATTGCATTCGCACCGGCTTAGCAGCCGAATACCTGACTACGTCACCTCGTGACGATTCGTCATATTTCGGGCACCCTCGATCGGATGATCGAATTGCCTATATCGTCGTGAGAGACAGATTCGTCATAGCTCTCAAGGTGTAAACATCGACACATTCGCTGTGAATAAATTCCATTCGATTTCTACTGTTATAACGCGTGTTATAATTTCATCAACCCGTCCAACATTCCCGAGTATCCCACAAAAAATTTTTTTTTGATACCGGCCTGAAAAGCCATCTGGAATGGAAGAAGAAGATTTGTTTGTATTTAGCTTTTCCAGAGTCCGATGAAGTTAAAAAAATTCGTGAAACGTCGCCCCTATGACAATTTGACCAACATTATAATTACGTCTCCAACATCTCTTGAACTTATTGATAGTTGTTACCATCATGGCGATGAAAAATTTCATTGTTCATTCTGCAAATTACATTGAAAATATCGTGTTTTTCGCTTAAAATGCAATGCTTACTTTTTGCTCCCAAATGGAAACATTGTATTCGTCAAATCTGAAATTTCCAGTTTTTGTGTCAGTATGTTTTGACAGTTCGTTTTGTTCACATGTGATTTTAACTGCTTTTGTTTGTAGTTTTGGCACCTAACAATGTTTAGGGATGAAGCCATTTGGAATAGAAGGAGAAGATCTGTTTGTATTTTATTTTTCCAGAGCCCGATGAAGCTAAAATAATTCGTGAAACGTAGCACCTATGACAATTTGACCAACATTATAATTACATCTTCAACGTCTCTTGAACTTATTAATAGTTATTACCATCATGGCGATGAAAAATTTCATTGGTCATTTTGTAAATTACGTCGAAAATATCGAGTTTTTCGCTTAAAACGCAATCCTTACTTTTTGCTCCCAAATAGAAGCATTGTATTGGTCAAATCTGAAAATTCCATTTTTTTGTGTCAGGATGACTAATTTTGATCTCAGGAGTTGGAATATGCTATTTTTAGATCATGTCCGTATGTATGTATGTATGTATGTATGTATGTATGTATGTATGTATGTATGTATGTATGTATGTATGTATGTATGCTAAAAAACAACAACAAAGGTTTTTGTAAAAGAACTGCGCCAAGAAATAGTTTTGTTCAGTTTTTACTGGAAAGCTTGAATTTTTTAAAAATAACAAAGAATGAAAAAGAAAGCTAAGTCAGAAATCTCAAATAAATGGGTATAGTACACGAACAGATTTCTGTAAGAAAAATAGTACTCAATAGAAAAAGAATCTTGAAAAAATTCTCCATAAAATTACAAATTAGTAGGGGCAGGACCAACGTCCTTGGCGCGGATCAACAGATGGAGGATTAGTTTGATATAGATAGTGAGTAGAAAAAATCTGTGCCAAGAACGTTGGTTCTGCTCCTACATATTTGTTATTCAATAGAGAATTTTTTAAAGATACTTTTGCTATTGAGTACTATTTTTCTTATAGAAATCTGTTCGTGTAAGGTAAATGACCCTCCGCTCATCTAGCTAAGGTGACACATAATTAGTCCAATATTTCTATCGAAATGAGCGTGAAGATGCGGTGATTTAAATTACATATCAGAGGGTAAAACCTTCAGAATTGGAATTTATTTATATTAATTATGATAATTACTTTTTTTTTTAAATAATCGCCCATGAATGTGAAATGTCCCAGGTCCCTACGCTCATTCATTTGTCCCCATGCTCGTTTGATACATGTCCCTATCCTCGTCTCGTGATTTGAGTAAAATGGAAAGGTTATATCCGAACTAATTACATCGAGAGTATCCTATTTTGTGATAAAACAACATTAAAAAATATCGAGATGCACAAAATTATTTTTCCATTGGACAGTCCAACCTTTTAAATCATTTTTTCATCCGTTTAGTCCGTTGCCAGTTGACAGTTGGGTGCAAAACGAGCGTAGGATCAATGCCATTTTCATTGTACCTATTCTTTTAATTGGCAATATTTCTGTGAAATATCCGGATATGACTATAATTTATGCATGTTTATTAAATTTTCAACTATTCGAAATCTTAGCTAAGGGATTTTTAATTCCATTTTACTATTGTAATGGAGATATCGACGTTTTAAAATTGTGAGTTTCTTAACTTGTGGCTTAAGAATTAACTCTGCCGTAGCACGAGTTGATGTGAATGTGATTTTTCTCTCTTATTATTCAATAAATCACTCTGCATTGGTGTCTATAACTTTTCTTATTGACTAAAATGATAACTCCAATCGTACTTCAGTCTTCATAGACTCTTGGGACTATCAAAATGATTGAAATGTCATTGCTAGCAGGATCTGAACGAGCGTAGGGACGAAGAAGGGCATAGATACATTTACCTTACTATACCC